GCACTGCCACTAAATCTTTCAAGATATCCTGGGTGTGCTTGGCTAAGGTGCAGCATCAGAAAAGCATCAGGCACAGGCAAGCCACAGAAAGGGCACTCGGACAAGCCTGTCATCTGAAGTGTGCGAGGGAAGCCTTTCAGTCAACTACACCAAATTGCGCTTGAACTGAGCCAATTGTGCAACGCGAACACATCCGGAAGAGTCACGGACACACCTGGCAAAGTGAAACACACCTGGAAGAGCCCCGTGCTTAGATTGCAGTTCTCGGCGTTTTCGTGCCCAAATTCCCGTTCTGGGCGTTTTCATCGCCCCCAAATCGCGAAGCGATTTGGGGGGCAGGAAAATCTCCAGGGAGGTTGCTCGTGGCCTCTCCGCCTCTTGGCCTCTCGGCCTCACTGCCTGGCAGTGCCCTTGTGGCACGGCGGATTGGGGGGGTCCCCTCTGTGTAAGCTGGGGCCGCGCGCGGCTGGCGGACCGCGGCGTGGGGATGCCATGTCGTCTCCTCTCCTCGCTTCTCCGGCTGGCTGGTTGGCGGTTGTGCGCGCGCGGGGGCGAAGGTTGTCGCGCTTCGCGGCGCGGCCTCGGGGGGCCGTGCCTTTGTGGTGCGTGGTTGCGCGACGATAAATGCGCTTCGCTGCTCGTCGTTGGCGGGCTTCCGTGGTGTCTGGCCCGCAGGACGGGCGTGGTCGAGAAATGCTTTCTCTGGCCCGCAGGACGGGCGTGTCTCTGGCCCGCAGGACGGGCGTGTCTCACACCCGCAGGTCGGGGGGGTGCACCCGCAGGTCGGGCACCAGTCTCTGCCAGACCCGCAGGTCCAAGGGGGTGCACCCGCAGGTCGGGAACGTGTCTCTGTCACACCCGCAGGTCGGGGGGTGCACCCGCAGGTCGGGCACCAATCTCTGTCACACCCGCAGGTCGGGGGGTGCACCCGCAGGTCGGGCACCAGTCTCTGCGTTCGCGTGCTCTGGGCCTGCTGGTTCTGTGTTCCGGCCTTCCGGCCCCAGGAGGCCACCGCCGTCTGTCTGCCCTGGGCGGCCATCTTCACCCGCAGGTCGGGTTCCAGCTGCTTGTGGCGCTGCTCCAGTGGGGGGTGCGAACGTGCCGCCCTGTCGCCGTCCATCCGGCAGCGTCTTGGCTCGAGGTATCAAGGATTGCTCGCTCTGTGCTCCGTTTCTGTCTGGGCAGGCCGGCTCGCCGCGAGCACTTGCGATGTCCTTCGCCGCGGGTGAGATTCAGGCTTTCGTGCACGGTCTGCCACAAGGGTCTCTTTGTGGCGCGGGTGCTGACGCGGCCGTTCAGTGGTGCGAGTTCGTGCTTGCGGTGGACGAGTCGCCCAAGGCCCACCACGACCTCTTTTGGTACCTGTCGGTGGGCAGGCTCGTCGCGGAGAAGATGAGCTCCATCTCGCCGAAGGATCTGGGCGAGGCTTGCATTCGCGACTTGCTTGCGGCGACCGTCAAGCCAGGGGAAAAGCCCTACACCGGGGAGTCCGAGCCAGCCGTCTTCAAGGCGTGGGCCGTGGAGCCCTCGCAGCTTGCCTTCGCCTACCGGCTCCAGCGCAAGTGCGCAGCCACAGTGCCTCAGGAGGCGACGCCGGAGAGCAAGCTGGCGACTACGATGACCGCGTATCTCGAGGCGCAGGCCGCCAGCGAGAAGGTGAAGCTCTCGGCGAAGGCGCTCTCCTTCAAGCTCTCAGACAGGGTCAAGGAGCTGCGAATGGACCAATTCCCCCAGGACGTCCTCCCGTCCGAGGAGAGCCTCGCGGTCTTCGAGGCAGCCGGCCGCGTGGCCAGAGAGAAGGGGCGGCTGTACGTCGGCAGTGCCGAGGGCGAGGATCTCCAGAGGAATTTTCGGCCGGCCTGGTCGAGGATTCCGCGTATCGACGTGCCTGTCGGTGACGGGTCTGTGGCTGAGCGTCAGCGCCAGATGGCCGAATTGAGGCGTGTCCGGGCTGCGTCGGAGCTCGACTACCCCGGGTACGCCACCTTCCACGCTCACATCATGGATTGGGGCGTCAAGCTCATTCTGATGAAGGCTGCCACGCCGCTTGAGGTGCTCACCTACTCGGTCTTGCTGACTAAGGTCGCCGAAGAGGAAGGGGGCGTGCGCACGGCGTACCAGTACGACATCCTGGTGCGCACGGCCATGGCCAAGGCTTTGGAGCGCGGTGACCCTGACTGGAGGCTCTACTTCACGAAGGTCGACGCAGACCTCGCGAAGCAGGCGAAGCGGAAGGTCGAGGACAGAGCGGCTGAGGCTGCGCGGACGCTCGCTGGCAAGAGCGCTGGCAAGGGCGGCAAGTACGGCAAGAGCGATGGCGCGAGCAGCGCTGCTGCGGCGTCGGCGCCGCGGTCTCTCTCGCCTCTCGCGCCGCCGCGCTCCCGCAGCCCCTGGCGCAACCAGGGCGGCCGGCAGCAGAGCGGCAGCGGCTGGGCCCAGGGCGGCTGGCACCAGGGCAACAACCAGGGCAACTGGAAGCAGGGTGGCTGGCAGCAGGGGCAGCGCAAGAAGTGATCGGCATCCGATCGCAGTGAGAGCCCAGGAGGCTCCAGTGTGGATTCTGCCCGCTTTGATGGCGGATCCACAGCTTTTGAAGAGCACTTCTGCGCCGATCGCGATTTCGGCGGTCCAGCGGAGTGCGAGTTTCACCCTGAATATCCCACGGCTCCTGGCATGGCCAGAGTCAGGGATTGTGTAAATACGTTCCTGCAGGATCCTGCGGTCTCCGGTCTTGGTCCGCTCGATCATTTAGAGTGGGCTCTTGGTTTGCCCTCGTGTTGCGATCGTCCCTCGGTGCCAGAGGCGGTCGCTGCTCCTCTCGCTCGTGTGCTCTCTCTTGGTGGCCAGGCTTTGGCTTCTGCTAGGGCAGCTAGTCTCGCGCATTGGCGTGAGCGCAAGCGCGTGCTGGACCCGCTCTGGGCGCGCAGGTTCGGCTCTCTGCCGACGCACGTTCAGAGCGTTCTTGGTCCGAAGAAGAATCTGCTTGTGCTCAGCGAGATGCTCGAGGCCATCGCGTGGACCGATACTCGGTTGGCAGCTGATTTGCGCAATGGGTTTCCCCTTCTGGGTGAGATTCCGCGCAGTGGCGTGCTGCCGCAGATTCCGTACGCAAAGTGCTCGGAATCTGCATCGGGCTTGCGGGCGCAAGCCAGCGCTCTGAATGAGGACACGCTCCGCCGCGTGCGGCGACCGGCCGGTCTGGAGGATGCGGTCCGAGCGGTCTTCGAAGCTAAGTGTAAAAAGGAGGTCAGCGATGGCCATGCGAGGTGGCGCTCCTTGCCTGGCAGTTGCGTTCTCACTGCGCGCTTTCCGGCCGACGAGGGTTGGAAGGATAATTCGCGCCGGGTGCGCTGTATAGACGACTTTTCGGCATCGCGTATAAATGCCGCAGTATCTGTTGGGGAAACAATCCAACAGGATACGCTCGACTGTTTCGTAGCCGTGCTCTGTGAAGTCATCCAGCGAGGTGCCGGCGGAGCCGCGCTGCGGAAAGAAGATTTCGTGGCAGCTTTTAAAACTCTGCCCCTGGCTAGCTCCCACCTCCACTTCGCTGTGGTAACGTGGGCGTCGGCCGACGCCCAGGGGCAGGGTCTGCAGCTTCTTGCCTGCCCTTTCGGAGCAATAGCTTCGGTCTACAATTGGGAACGCTTCGGCTCAGCAATCAGATCAGTTCTGGCGCAGCTGTTTTTCGTAGTGTTTCTGAGATTCGTAGACGACCTCTTTGGCGCCGACGCAGTCTGTTCGGACGCGCCAGCTCTCGCCACACCAGCTGGCGCCAGCGAGGTTGCGCGCGAGGTGGTCGAGGACCTACTCGGCTGGGAACTCGATGCCACGAAGCGGGTATCGGATTCCAAGAGTGCCTCAGTTTTGGGCGTAGAGGTGGAAATCGATTCCCCCGGCCAGGCGCTGCATTTGGAGATTGGCGCCGCCAAGCTGGCGAAGTGGGATTCGCAGATCCGCGCCATCTTGAGGCGCAATGCCTTGCACCCTGCCGAGGCGAAGAAGCTCGCCGGGAGATTGAATTGGGGTGCTTCTTCTGTCTTTGGCCGCGCGGCCCGGGTGCATTTGGCACCACTTTTCGCACAAGCATCGGGGGGTTCCTCGAAGCTGTCAGGGCGCGTGAAGCGTTCGCTCCTTTGGTGGCTGCGCTTTCTCAGTTGTGTGCCGCGCCGCACGGTTCTGTGCACGCAGCCATCACGCCTCAGGTGCATTGTTTACTCAGATGCCACAGGGAGCGGCAGTCTGGCATGGGTCGTCTGCCTACCCAGTCGGCGTCTGTGGTCTGCTTCTGTGGTGCCCGCGGCCGTTTGGCGTTGGGCACGCTATCGGAAGAATCAAGTGGCGACCTGGGAATTAATGGCTGCGATCTGTGCTCTCCACTGGCTGCTCAGCCAAAGGCTGGGCGATCTGGAAGTTTTATTGTTCGTTGACAACACGACTGCGCTCGGCACTCTCGTGCGCGGCTCTTCCAGACAAGTCGATTGGAACGATCTCATTGGAGATCTTTGGCTGCGCGTTGCCCAGGCCGGAGTGCTCCTGTGCAGCTTTTACGTTCCGAGCCATCTTAATTTGGCTGATGCGCCTACGAGGCCACAGCAAAAATATGCAGCGCTGGAGGCGATGCAAACAGCAGGTTTCGCAGAAGTGCCATGGAGTGTCCCGCCGGATGCCCCCTGGCAGTCTTAATTTTTCGGCCCGGCGGTTGCGTGGTGGAAAAAATGCGTCCACGTCACCGTCCTCTGGTGTCGCCTTAGTCTGGTCTGCTGCGCCAGGAGAAGCCCCAAGAGGCTGGGGCCGGAGTCTACGCGGTATTTTTGGCTTTCGGATCGAAGCTGTGGAAACCATGCTGCCTCCCAGTCTGCAGCGCTGGCAAGGAACAGCAGAGCGTGATCTTCAGGCGTTTCCTTTCTAGGAAGGCGGCATATCGATCGATGGGTTTACGTACGTACATCGTGCACATTCAGCAGCACTGCGGCGCAAGATCGCGGCTCTGTCTCCGTAGCCTGTTTGGCGCAAGCTTGAAAGTTCCGCTCAATGCTTAATTTCGTTGATGAGAGCCGGGCCAGGGCCGCTGCTGCTGCTGCTGCTGCATCAGGCTCGTCGCAAGCCGCCCATCCTGCAGTGGCCGAGGTGCCAGCTGCGTTTTCAGGTAATTTGGTTCGTATTCTCAGGCAAGTGTCCGCAGTCGTTCCGCCCGGTGCGCCCATTGATGCATTGTGTTCTGGTTTGGCGGCTGCCGGAGCGTCGCGGGCAGAGGATTTTTGCGATATTGGTCCTGAGGAGGCGCAACTCTGGCGGCCTCTGTCTGGGTGTTCGCGCGACTTCCTCAGTAGATTTCTGCAGTTATGCGAGGTGGAGCGGCGGCGCGCTGCCTGCTGCGCGTCCTGCAGAGCAGACTGAAAGCGGCAGCACCCCAGCACATGGCCTTGTCCGCGGGCGTGGTGCTCAGGACGGTGCTGCCGAGAGAGGTATGGCAGCTCTGGCGCTGTTGGCGCACGCGCGGCGCAGTGGGCAGGTGCTTGGGCCTACGGTGCTCGCAGGCGCTGTCAGAGACATGGCGAAGTTGCCGGATTCCCCATTCGAGGAAGACAGAGTGTTGCCCCGGGCTGCTGCAAAGCGAGCGCGGTATTCGGGAGCAGACTCCATGGAGTTCGAGATCCGCGCCGTCTGGCTCGAATTCTGTGGGTGGCGCCGCAGTGCCGCGCAGTATGCCAGCGCAGTAGAGCTCTGGGGTGAGGCGGCCGCCATCAGTACAGAGGCGCCGTGGCCACCTGGGCATTCCACGGTCTGCGTCTTCTCAGGTCTCTTCCGCAGCAGTGCCTCTCTGGGCCGATATGTGTCGCACATTCGTTCGGTGCTCCACCTGCTGCGGGTATCAACCGGCGAGCTCTCGGACACGGCGAGGCTCGTGAGGGGAGCAGAAAAAGCTGGTGCAGCTTTTCAACGGCCGAAGATTTGGGCATCGGGGTCGCAGACACGCGCGCTCATGCAGTGGGCGTCGCGCTCAGGGCGTCGTGATCTGGCCCTGTCTTGGGCAGTGTCGCGCCACTTTTGCTTGAGGTATTCTTCCGAAACTTTGGCTCTGGGTTCAGGCAAGGCGTCCTTTCAATTCAGCAGCCGCGATGGTCATTCTCAGTGCACGGTGACGTTCACTCGGAGGAAGAGCTACCGCGTTCCCGTTGAAGTCGCGAGAAAGTGCGTCTGCTCTGGAGATGCAGAAATCTTATGCGGAGTATGTGCCTTGAAGGAGGCGTGCGCGGAGCACGCGGTCCCATTTGGGCATATTTCGTATTCTGAAGCTGGCCTTCTTAAAAGCTGGTGCAGTGGCGCTAGCTTTGCCGCAGGCTCTCCACTGGGGCACTCACGCGTTTCGCAGAGGATTCGCAAACGATGCCCTCCGGGCCGGCGGCGTGTCTGCGCTGTTCTGGTCGGGCGGCTGGAAGGGGCTCGCTGCGTTTGGGTATGCTACGGCGCAGGCCCGAGGCGAAGTGGCCGCCGCGGAGTGGCTGGTGGAGCACTCGGACTCGAGTGGCGGCGAGAGCGGCTAGGCACGCTCGCATGCAGTGGGTGCTGTCTCGAAAAAGAGCGTGCGAGACGCACCTGTGCTCTCACGGTGCCTTTCGGCTCCTTGCCGCCAGCCTCGGCCCTCCTGGATGCAGTGGGCCCTTGGGGTATTCCAGTCGGGACCAGCCTGGCGGCGCCGTGTGTCTCCTCAGCCCAACGCAGGTGCGGGGGGCGCCGGCCTGCTTCTTCTGTGCTGACCGCACGCAGAGATTTTCATCGCCCCCAAATCGCGAAGCGATTTGGGGGGCAGGAAAATCTCCAGGGAGGTTGCTCGTGGCCTCTCCGCCTCTTGGCCTCTCGGCTTCACTGCCTGGCAGTGCCCTTGTGGCACGGCGGATTGGGGGGGTCCCCTCTGTGCTAATAAGCTGGGGCCGCGCGCGGCTGGCGGACCGCGGCGTGGGGATGCCATGTCGTCTCCTCTCCTCGCTTCTCCGGCTGGCTGGTTGGCGGTTGTGCGCGCGCGGGGGCGAAGGTTGTCGCGCTTCGCGGCGCGGCCTCGGGGGGCCGTGCCTTGGTGGTGCGTGGTTGCGCGACGATAAATGCGCTTCGCTGCTCGTCGTTGGCGGGCTTCCGTGGTGTCTGGCCCGCAGGACGGGCGTGGTCGAGAAATGCTTTCTCTGGCCCGCAGGACGGGCGTGTCTCTGGCCCGCAGGACGGGCGTGCTCATTTTCGAAAGCCCACCCTCGTGCCACCCTGGGTTTGTTGTGCGGTTAGCGGGCGCGGTGCCCCCTGCCAGGCTGGGCCCTTGGGGTATTCCAGTCGGGACCAGCCTGGCGGCGCCGTGTGTCTCCTCAGCCCAACGCAGGTGCGGGGGGCGCCGGCCTGCTTCTTCTGTGCTGACCGCACGCAGAGATTTTCCGTGCTCAGATTGCCGTTCTGGGCGTTTTCGGCTCAGATTGCCCTTCTGGGCGTTTCCGTACACAAATCGCCGTTCTGGGCGTTTCCGTGCTTAGATTGCTGTTCTGGGCGTTTTCCGTGCTCAGGCCATTCTGGGCGCTTTCGTGCTCAGATTGTCGTTCTGGGCGTTTCCGTGCTCAGATTGCTGTTCTGGGCGTTGCCGTGCTCAGATTGCCGTTTTGGGCGTTTCCGTGCTCAGATTGCCGTTCTGGCCGTTTCCGTGCTCAGATTGCCGTTCTGCGCGTTTTTGTGCTCATATTGCCGTTCTGGGCGTTTCCGTGCTCAGATTGCCGTTCTGGGCGTTGCCGTGCTCAGATTGCCGTTTTGGGCGTTTCCGTGCTCAGATTGCCGTTCTGGCCCTTTTCCTCCGGGCTCAGATTGCCGTTTCTGCTGCGTTTACTGGGCGCCGGCGGTAAACCGTCAACCTTTGTTACCGCCGGGGGACTCGTAGAGCTTCCTGACAACATATAATGTCGAAGAAAATTGCAGAGAACGAATAGTTTTTCAGCCCTACACGAGTATCAGACCGAGTTCGGACCTCTGAATGCAGCAGACAGAGGCGTCTCATGTCTCCGAATCGATTCCTGTCATTACCCGCCCTGCAGCCCCCCTACAGCCCGAGCTGAGTGCAGAACGCCGAGAGTGGCTCTCAAGATGACTGGAAGAATACGAACACTTTTGTGATTCTAGATCGCGCAGCAACCGAGCTCAGAGCTCTGGATTCAACAGGCGAACACGCCTGATTTTTTTTCTGAATGCGATAGGCGTGCTTACAAGCACTGTAGCTGCCCTGCAGCCCGAGTCAAGCAGAAAACACCAATAACGCGTATCAAGTTGACTCGAATAATACGAATAGGTTTGCGAACCTAGCTCGGCTAGCAGACCGAGTCCAGAGCTCTCGATTCGACAGGCGAACGCGCCTGACGATTCTGAGTGCGATGCGTGTGCTTACCAGCACTGTAGCTGCCCTACAGCTCGAGTGGAGCAGAAAATACCGACAACGCGTATCAAGTGAACTCGAATAATATGAATAGGTTTGCGCACCTAGCTCGGCTAGCGGACCGAGTTCAGAGCTCTGGATTCAACGGGCAAACGCGTCGGATCATTCTGAGTGCGATACGAGTGATTACCAGCACTGTAGCTGCCCTACAGTTCGAGTTAAGTAGAAAATACCGACAACGCGTATCAAGTTCACTCGAATAATACAAACAGGTTTGCGGACCTAGCTCGGCTGACAGACAGAGTTCAGACCTCTGGGTTCAACAGGCGAACGCGCCTGTTCATTCTGCATGCATTAGCTGTGCTTACCAGCTCTGTAGCTGCCCTAGAGCTCGAGTTATGTTCAGAAAACCAACAGCGCGTATCAAGATGACTCGAAACGGCCGTCCCGCCACCGTGCCTTTTTGGCTTTAAAAGTTACCCGATCGAGCTGAGATCAAGAATGGCGAGCGGAAATAAGATCGAAATAATCACGGAAAAAAATTTTATTTATTTATTTAAAATATAAATAAAAATTTAATAAAATTGTATATCATTATATTTTATAATGAAAATTATTAATATTTAATTGTTTATAAATTTTTTTACTAGAGCTCTAACGAATTGTCAAATTTCGAGAACGAAATTTTCAACCGAGCAAAAGTTGTGAAAAGTTCCGTCGAGATTTTTCGGGCCAACTAGCTCTGGGGCGCGCCGGAATTACTCTTAGCTTCCAGCTATAACTAGCTAAGGGAAGCTCTACGAGTTATGTGCTCATATTGCCGTTCTGGGCGTTTCCGTGCTCAGATTGCCTTTCTGGGCGTTTCCGTGCTCAGATTGCCGTTCTGGGCGTTTCCGTGCTCAGGTTACCGTTCTGCGCGTTCTGGTGTTGATATTGCCGTTCTGGGCGTTTTCGTGATCATATTGCCGTTCTCACGTTTTTGTGCTTCGATTGCCTTTCTGTGCGTTTTCGTGCTCAGATTGCCGTTCTGGGCGTTTTCGTGCTCAGATTGCCCTTCTGGGCGTTTCCGTGCTCAGATTGCCGTTCTGGGCGTTTCTGTGCTCAGATTGCCGTTCTGGGCGCTTCCGTGCTCGTATTGCCGTACTGGGCGTTTCTGTGCTCAGGTTGCTTGCCTTGTGGGCGTTTCCGTGCTCAGATTGCCGTTCTGGGCGTTTCTGTGCTCAGATTGCCGTTCTGGGCGTTTCCGTGCTCAGATTGCTGTTCTGGGCGTTTCCGTGCTCAGATTGTCGTTCTGGGCGTTTCTGCATTCAGATTGCCGTTTTGGGCGTTTCCGTCCTCAGATTGCCGTTCTGGGTGTTTCTGTGCTCAGATTGCCGTTCTGGGCGTTTCCGTGCTCGTATTGCCGTACTGGGCGTTTCTGTGCTCAAGTTGCTTGCCTTGTGGGCGTTTCCGTGCTCAGATTGCCGTTCTGGGCGTTTCCGTGCTCAGATTGCTGTTCTGGGCGTTTCTGCATTCAGATTGCCGTTTTGGGCGTTTCCGTCCTCAGATTGCCGTTCTGGGCGTTTTCTGTGCTCCGGATTGCCGTTCTGGGCGCTTCCGTTCTCGTGTTGTCGGTGCTGGGCTTTCTGTGCTCAGGTTGCTTGCTTGTGGGGGGCGTTCCGCGCTCAGATTGCCTTTTTGGGCGTTTCCGTGCTCAGTTTGCTGTTCTGGGGCGTTTTCCGTGCTCAGATGCCGTTTTAGTAAGGCGCTTCCGTCCTCAGATTGCCGTCTGGCGTTCTGTGCTCCCGATTGCCGTTCGGCGCTTCCGTGCTCGTTTTGCCGTGCTGGGCGTTTCTGTGCTCAGGTTGCTTGCCTTGTGGGCGTTTCCGTGCTCAGATTGCCGTTTTGGGCGTTTCCGTGCTCAGATTGCTGTTCTGGGCGTTTCCGTGCTCAGATTGCCGTGCTGGGCGTTTCTGCATTCAGATTGCCGTTTTGGGCGTTTCCGTGCTCAGATTGCTGTTCTGGGCGTTTCTGCTTTCAGATTGCCGTTCTGGGCGTTTCCGTCCTCGCACCCAGTACTCTAATCGAGCGGTTCTTTAAACCTCACCAAATCTCTCCATGGCTTTAAACCGTGATAAAATTCTTTATGGCTGTGGTTTCTCTCTGAAGAGTTGCAGAGGTTTAAACAACCGAATAATTCTGTAAACCTCTTTGAACCGCTGGGGGAAAAGCTTTGCAGAAGATGGCGGTCGTTTAAACCTTTGCACTTCTCTACAGAGGAGTGACATGTATAAAATATTTTGCCATGGTTTAAAGCACCTGCCCAATCGCACCAAGCAGGAGCGCCCAGAATAGCAATCTGAACCTGTTTTGGCGCTCTCCCGAGCAGGCGCGCCCTGATTTGGGCGCTCTCCCGAGCGGGCGCGCCCAGAATAGCAATCTGAGACTGTTTTGGCGCTGTCCCGAGCGGGCGCGCCCATAATAGCAATATGAGCCTGTTTTGGCGCTCTCCGCGCCCAGAATAGCAATCTGAGCCTGCTTTGGCACTCTCCCGAGCAGGCGCGCCCAGAATAGCAATCTGAGCTTGTTCTGGCGCTCTCCCAAGCAGGCGCGCCCAGAATAGCAATCTGAGCATGTTTTGGCGCTCTCCCGAGCGGGCGCGCCCAGAACGGCAGCCCGAGCCTGTTTTGGCGCTCGCCCAAGCAGGCGCGCCCAGAATAGCAATCTGAGCCTGTTTTTGCGCTCTCCCGAGCGGGCGTGCCCAGAATAGCAATCTGAGCATGGAAACGCTCGAATCGGCAATCCTGAGCACATGAAACGCTCGAATCCGCAATCTGAGCACAGAAACGCTCGAATCCGCAATCTGAGCACGGAAACGCTCGAATCGGCAATCTGACCACGGAAACGCTCGAATCCGCAATCTGAGCGCGGAAACGCCGAATCGGCAATCTGAGCACGGAAGCGATTGAATCGGCAATCGGAGCACGGAAACGCTCGAATCGGCAATCTGAGCACCGAAACGCTCGAATCGGCAATCTGAGCACGGAAACGATCGAATCGGCAATCTGAGCACGGAAACGCTCGAATCGGCAATCTGAGCACAGAAACGATCGAATCGGCAATCTGAACACGGAAACGCTCGAATCGGCAATCTGAGCACGGAAACGC